AAGAAAGAAAGAAAGAAAGAAAGAAAGAAAGAAAGAAAGAAAGAAAGAAAGAAAGAAAGAAAGAAAGAAAGAAAGAAAACTAACTTTCAAAACCTGTACACTGTGTCCTTCTGGAAAAGTCAAACTTTAGAGAAACTCACCGCCTCCATTTTTGTAGCAGAGGTAGGGAAAGCGCCACACATTCCCCAGGCCCACAATCTGTCCTGCGACAGCCAGGAGGAACTCGATTTTGCTCGACCACTGCCCTCGGGGGTTTGCGTGATGTGTCGAGCCCATGTCCTGTCCGTGCCTGACCTCTAGACCTTGGTTGTTATCCACCACACTGTGACAGGAGAAAACAGTTATTTTACTGTGGCGGATTTAATGAAGTTTTTAATCAGAGCAGACAGCTTGCGTGGCACACTGAACATCTGGGAAATCATTTTTGTCATAATAGTACACAACTGTCAAATTTCCTTTTATTAATTAAAAATGAATTCTTTACATTCACATCACTTTCCTTGTACAATCAGTGGCAATGAACAATATATAAAAATTATAAACCCAACTCACTGTCTGTACAGTTCAGCGGTCCTTCTGCATTAGGTCAACAGACGCTAATTCTTTTCATCAATGTTGCTTTTGTTTGACTGCCTTAGCTCTGATGTGGGAGTGAAGCAAGTAGACTGGAAAATATGTGCTCATCTACATGACGATTCAAAGTCTCAAATCCAGGGACACAGAACACTCCTGAAGTCTTTTGTTTAATGAGGTGAGAGCTGAAAAATGAGAATCTGGATCAAATGTGAGGTTCAGCACCTGAGACTGATCATTCCGTGGTGATACTGGTGGATTTATAGTAAAACATTATTAAGGGGAGTGGTGTGGAAATGAAGCTTTCGAGAAAACCCAGGAACAAGTAAAGGCAAAGAACGAGCTGGGGCATGAAAACCAGGAGCACACACACACACACACACGCACGCACGCACGCACGCACGCATGCACACACACACACACAAAATGAAATGTTTTTCTTTCTGCTCCCATCTGTGGGGTCAACACAGCGAGCAAACTTGCACGAGAGCTTTGGCAGTTTTTGGCTCCGGGCTCGAACCTGCAGCCTCATGCTTACGAGAAAGCAGTTCAAAGGATGACGAAGCGTGCAGATCTGAGAAACTAAAACATGGAACACACTCAATCAAGACAGAGTTGGGCAAATCAAGCATTCTGTGTACAACAACTGTTAGAACTACGTGTTGAGGAAGACTCTCAGCTACTTCCATATCAAAGCTCAGCTCAGTAGCTGTAAAATTGGCTGGGTTGTGTCTATTTTTGTGTTGAGTGGTTGTGGTGGCCATTGTCAATTGGATTGACTCCAAAAATTAATCACTTGTAGAGGACAATCTAATAATTACTAAGAGTTTCAAAATAATTCCTCTAGTCGTTCATCAGATACTCTGCTAACAGAGCAAAAAACATTACACCCTTGGGCTTGATGTGATAGAAACCAAACTATGCAATAATTAGAGTAAGCTCCTGCTGTCTGTGCTTGTTTGATTGTGGTGAATATTTATGTCTTTAGACAAGTTCTTGGAACTGGAGCTTCAGCCAACAATATAAGCGACAGGGGGGTTCATATAACAGCACCCTTACGAGGTGGCACAGTCCAAATCTGAAGGGGTTCTGTGTTCATGATAGCACATTATGCTTAAATATAGGAAGTAAAGGTTTGGACTGTGTGATTACAGAATAAATATAAAATAGAAATTTAACTATGACAACCTGTTGTTTTCGCCACCTTTTGGCAGTCCATCGAAGTTGTATAATCGGGGTGTCAAATACTCCCTTTCCCCACGTAACATGAACCGTGTGCTTACTACTTATAAATACAAGGTTCTGCTAATTTGAGATTATTTATATTTGAAAGGTCACAACAGTTTGAACAGTGTTGAAATGGGTTGATTTTGTTTGTTCTACAGGCCTTGAATCAACATTCTCCAAAAAGCAAAAACAATGAATCCCTTTGAAATATTTCTGCCCCCGTCGGAGGGTCTCGCATAAAAGGGGGGATTAGACAGACTAAACAGAGTGGGGCAGGGGGGTTGTGTACAGAGGTGGACAGCTGTGTTATTTCTTCAACGCAGCAGTTTAATTTCTTTATGGATTTTTAATCAGGAGGAAAATCCTTGAGCAACTTAACGTGAAGGTTTCCTGCCCCACAGTCAGAGTCTGTAGGCAGAATAATGATCATCAGCTACCGGGATGGAAGGTCTACAAGGATGCTGAGATTAAACTGCTCTCAACAACTTGTGCCTTTTTTGACCTCATAATAAATCATGATCCATCCATGAGTCCAAACCATCACCTGTTCAAAAACAAGGCTCACTGGAATATCTATTTTTTATTTTTCTGCTTGTCTTTTTACAAACAATCACTGTCCTGCTGTACATTAAATCCACTCAATGTCCTGTCACTAATGACTTGAATCAATAAAAACAGATTTTCATTTTATTAGGTTGCTAAGAGCTTATCAAGCAGTCAGAGTATAAACCATTTGCTCAAAATCTTTGCTTTTAGCAGCCATGATCACAGAGAAGTGTCACCGTAAACAGGAGAAATGCTCTCTGCAGCATAACCAGTAACCTTTGGCCTACATAGTATAGGCTAGCACAAGCTGTTTCTGTTTCACAAACTTAAAAAAAGATCTCCACTCAGAAAGCAGAAATGAACAATCAGGGACAACAGAACATGAAAGAAAAATGAAGAATACCTGAGAAAAATGTGTCACGAGAGTATTCTTTGGTTTTGTTATACATCCACTCCAAGTGAGTTCATCTGGTGTCCTCAGAGGAAAATAGAAAAGTAGCTCCCCCAGTCTCACTGGGACAAGTTTTATACCCAGATCTGACCACGAGTGAGCCCATGAGTGTAGGTCTGAGGGAGCTGAGTGGTGTGACAATGAGGCAGAGCTGGAGAGAAGCATGCAGGGCAGAGAGAGGAGAGGAGGGGGTAGGACTGTTTCTGAATGAGGAAAGAAGAGGTTATCTGCGGAATCAAAGTGGGCGTGTCACAAGAGTAGGCGTGTCTAAACAACAAACACTGTGGGCTACAAGGCCTTCATGACGGTATCCTTAGATCCTGCTTGATCTCTTTACAGCCTGACCCTGACCCCAACACTAACAGGAGAAATGTGACCCAAGTAGGGTTCTCCAGATAAAAGTGGTGCCGTACAGTAACGCCCCTTTTGTTCTTGTCCAATCAGGTGGTGCCGTACGGTATCGCCCCTTTTTTGCTTGTCCAGTCAGGTGTGTCCCTTTAACAAAGTCCGTCAAATCAGGTGGGTCGCTTTAGAATCGCCTTTCCTTGTGACACGCCCACTCATCTGCAGAGACCCCTACTTGAATGAGGCACTAAAACTAAAAAGGCGGGGACTGTTGCACCAGACTACATGGTCCCACAGAGAAAAAAGGAGGGGACATATGGATGCAAAATGCATGTGTCTTTACACATRAAGACCAATTAACATTGACATGTCATTCAAACCAAATGACAGCGTTGTCAAAATGAGCATTTACTAGTGAATTTGACAAACTCTTTAAAAATAAAAGATTTTAAATACCACTTAATATATCTTTGTCTTTAAAAAAGTTATAAGCTTTAGGTCAGACAGATTCATCTGTTAAAATAATTATTTCTGTGTTCTAAGATGAAAAAACAAGGCTTCCTCATGTAATAGTAGTGGTGACAGCTGCAGTATTCTTCATTTACACTCTGTCACTTTGTATCCCAGTTTGTACAGTCCAGCCTGGGTTGGTGAACACATTGCTATGCACTTCGAATGCTACAAATTGTGGTAAATTTAATGTTATTAGCTGCTAGAGAGCCTGATCACTATAAGCACAGCGATTCACAAATCACTGTCAACCTTATTGTGGTATGGTCCAGGTCATGTGATGTGACACCTTGATTATGCACAGGGGAGTAGGCGGGACTTAAAGCYCCACATTTCAAACTGCACAGTGGACCCAAAAACACAACATGGCAGCTCCAATAAATCTTTTTCTGCTGGCTTCATTTAATCAGGGTCACTGTTTTTACTCAAGCTGGCCAAACCATTTTCAAAATTGCTAGCATTTTTCATGTGAGAGAAAATGACAAAATTATCAGTTTGCATGCATTTATAGATAATCTAATGGAGGTTCCTTCTTTTGGCAATAACTGTCCAATGTGTATGARGCGCCAAGTGTAAAATTAAGTGTTAAAAAAAAAACGCTTGAGCTCACTCTTTGAGTGTTAAAAACTTTCCACTAACATTTTGTTATTTAGCTTACTGTTCATTCTTCCATCATATATTAAACATCTTATTGTTCCATACTTTCCTAACAGAGCACTTCGCTCCTCGAGTTTCTAAAAGTAGAATGGGAGGCAGAGCTTTCAGTTATCAAGCTCCTCTCTTGTRGAACCAACTTCCAGTTTCTGTCCATGAGGCTGACACTCTGTCTACTTTTAAGATTARACTGAAGACTTTCCTTTTTGAAAAATCCTATAGTTAGACTTAGGTTTCCTGAATTATTCTTCATTTCTGCTGCTGTAGACTTAGACTGCTGGAGCACAAACTGAGCACATTTCCTCACTCTGCTGTTGCGTTTAGTCTCTCTTCTCTACATGTTTATTGTAATTATTTCTATCAATAACATGTTTTTTCTTATTGTCTCTTTTCCAGAAGTAGGTGCACCTGAACCAGTTCTTCTGTGTTTACCTGTGTCTCTTTCCTGTCCCTCAACCAGCCGGTTGAGGCAGATGGCCACCTGTCCTGAGCCTGGTTCTGCTGGAGGTTTCTTCCTGATTAGCAGGGAGTTTTTCCTCTCCACCGTTTGCTCAGGATGGGAGACTGTGATGAAGTGATTCAACACAATCTGCTGGTTTCTTCTTTAGATTGCTCTTTTTATGTACAGTGCCCTGAGACAACGTATGTTGTAGCTATATAAATAATCAGAATTGAAACTGAATTGAATTCTTAAATTTAGTACTTTTAACTAAATGTTTAATATAAACGCCTAAAAAATATTTAAATATTAAACCATAAATGTTTAAACCTAAATGTAAAAGTTAAATCTTAAATGTTGAAGGTAAATGTTGAAGTTCATCTTTAGGTATTTTGGAATGGAACGCAGTCTTTGCTTATGACATCATCATCAACACTGCCAAAGACAATATTAAAAAATCTAAATTCAAAGTATGTTCATAAAAAACAATATTGGTTCCTGTGGTCCAGCAATTTGAAGTGCAGCTCGGACACCTGCCATAACTGCAGGTTTGATGATTTGTAGGGAAGCTGTAGCTGCACTGGAGCGCTAGCATTAGCTATTGTCTCAGGATGATGTTGACATCACAACATGAACCGAGAACCAACAGCAAAGGCTGCATTCCACTCCAAAAATACCTATGTAAATATGTATTTTTATTTATTTATAACCTTTATTTAACCAGGAAGTCCCATTGAGATTAAAAACCTCTTTTTCCAGAGAGACTTGGCCAAGATTGGCAGCAGCAGCAGTAAATGCAGCACACAGTTTCACGTCTTAAAACAAATTTTAAAACATCAAATAGAAAAACATTGAAAATTTTAAATAAAAAAAATTAAAAACAATAAGTGCAAGTTATGGAGTCAGTTTCAAGACCTTTCAGTTTTGATTTAAAAGTACTCAGTGAAATCAACTCAGACAGTTTCCAGTCTTTCTGCAATGTATTCCATGTAGAAGGTGCAGAATGGATAAAAGCCTTTCTTCCCAATTCAGTCCGAGCAAATGGAACAGAAAGCATCAAAAAGTCTTGAGAGCGGATGGAGTAAGAGACAGTGCCTTTTTTCAATCAAAGTACAAATGTAGGAGGGAAGAAGYCCACATATTGCCTTGTATATGAATGYATACYRATGRCAGAGCCTTCTGGTGGYCAGAGCAGGCCATTCTACCCTTGAGTACAACTCACAGTGATGTAGTTAGTAATGAACGTCAAAGAGGCGTGATAAACAGTGTCAATCATCTGAAGACATTTAGCAGATGTGTTCATATACAAAATATCTCCATAATCCAACAGTGGTAAAAAGGTAGCCTCCACTAGTTGCTTTTTCACATTAAAAGAAAAGCACAACTTATTTCTAAAATAAAAGCCTAGTTTTAGTCTGAGCCTCTTCACCAGTTTCTCCACATGGGGCTTAAAAGTAAGGGAGTCATCAGTCAATATTCCCAGATATTTATACACACGTACCTGCTCTATTTAAGCGTGGTCACTGAAGGAATCGAAAGAGGTTTTTTTTTCTGGCACTGGAAAACGACATAAGCTTTGTCTTTTATATGTAGGTATTTACTTAAACATTTAAGATTTAACTTTTACATTTAGATTTAAACACTTTGGTTAGATATTTAATATTTAATTTTCAACACATTTGTTAAAAAGTCATTGTGATGGGATTATTCAGACATTCACATTTATGGGCCGCCGAGTGTAAACGTTAAAAAATTTCAGTAACATATTTGTCACTATTAGCTCACTGTTCTTACAGCAAAGTTTTACTAAATGTTAACTTTAAACGTTAAAAAATATATTTAACAGATGTTGGATCTTTTTGTGTGGAAAACGTTCATGATTGAATAAAAATCCAACTCTGCCTGACCTGACGAAGCCTTTGTTCTTGCATTTCAATTCTCATATAGTTTATCTAACATTGTTTTCAGATTGCATGGGGGCACAGATGACACATCCTTCTGGTGCAAACAACTCTGTTAAACATATTTTGTTTATGATGATCACAGTATGAAAACATAAATCTAGCCCTACATGTTTACATCTCCATTTAAAGTCATTCTGAGATCATGTCAGTGCTGCTCTACAGATCACATAACAAGCCTTCAAAATCTTGCAGAACTCAAATATTTAAACAAGTTATTAAAACGAATGAAAACGAATAATATTTTGAAAATGCTTCACAATTAAATGCATGTTCAAAACTTTTTTTCCCCTGAGAGTTGAAGACTTAGTGCAGTTTGAAAACATGGTTTTCAGCYGAGGAAGACGATGGTCTGAGACCCTGGTGACCTGACTCTGGTGGAACATCCRATCCTGCGCTGTTGGAGACAGGACAGAAAAACACACACTCTCCCTTTCCAAGTCACAGATCTGGAACCATGAGGAGATGTAGGAGTGAAATAATCACACCAGTGTGGAAAAACTTGAGAAAGTGTAATAAAATGTCATAACGCTCACATATATTTGTAACTTAAAAGTGGATTTAAACAATGCAAACTTCATGTTCAATACACATAGACAAACGTCAACTTCTAAATATGTGACAACAGTAACTAAATGTTGCTTGAAAGAGAATCTGCAGCTCAGTTTTTTTTTCTGAAAAGGCAGAGAATAGGAACAAATGACAGGAAATTGGCTGAAAAAGCTCTGATATAAATTTAAAAGGTTGATTAAAAACAAAAAAAACAAGAATTCAAAACAGAAAAAAAAACAAGGACAGGCACGTCTAAATGGACACAAAGACTGCCAGTTTAGAAAATGAATAGTTTGCTATGTAATCAGCTGGCTCGGCTATAAAAATGGTTAATCCTGTAACATCAACAGAACCAGCAGAGACCAGCTGCAGAGTTCAGCAGCAGCTCACTATGAAGCCACTTTGTCCCAGTTTATGGTAAACTGCAGACAGGTGACCCGCCGTCTGAAAGGTGGGGTCTGGTCATATGCTAACAGGATTTTTAATCATTCAATCCAACAACTTACCACTTACTGCGCCAAAAAAAATAAATAAAAAACCTAAAACTATCTCGCTGAGCTTGGGTCAAAATTACATCTCTGTCCTCAAGTCTAAAACTGAGGTCAAGGACAGCTGTTGGGTTAAAACACAAGCCTTTCTCAGCATTTTATCAATGTGTTGAGTTAGAAATTTGTTTAATTAAATGAAAATGTAACAGAACAGATGCACTTTAGAACCTGAGATGCAGACTGACATTAACTTACAGGATACATGTCAGAAAGCCCCTCCAATGATGAAAGTGTAACTGAAAGGTTGAAGAGTTTGTAAGATCTGGGTCTGCTCAACTTGCTTTTCTCTTACTGAGCATCTGACATTTTTAAAATGAATTACGTGAGTTCAAACAAAGACAACATGGGCTGCTATGGAACTCAAATTTAGTTTGGTTTATGCCAGTAGTTCCACGAATATTCATTCAAGTTTCCAAAATTTAGGACCAATCATTAAAAAAATATATGAAATATTCTTATCGCAACCCATTTCTATTCTTCCTCTAATTGGAAATCACATAAAGAATAGGCTACTCTACAAAAKATCTTGAAACGAAGTCTGCAAAAACAGCCCCATGTTCTGCTCTGTTCCTTGACACAAATCTACACGTCAACAGATTCTACTTCAGAAAGAGCATATCTTTTGAAAAATTATATTCACATTTTCACTTTCTGTTACAGTTTTAGAAAGCTTTTATACCTGAGCTAAATGTATGAAATGACTGATGAATCACAAAGTTAGCAGACCCTAAAAACAAGCATCATTAAATTAAAACTCAATCTTTTTTTTTCTGCTTACTCTGATGCATCTTGTTGTCCAATTGGTCCTTTGGTTTTCACTCCGTGATTTTCCATTTCACCCCAGTTCCTGCCTGGGTTGATTTCTGCTYGTGTATCTGTGACTAAAGACCCTGCAGGTATCACACTAGATACGCATGTTGGATAAATCATTATAAGAGTGGTAAATGAATCATCTTTGACCAACTTATCTGAGACTGAACAGGGTTTTGTGGTTATTGGAACACAGTTGTTGTCTGAGTTTACACTGTTACATATTTCTAACTGGTGCAATGATGTTGCTATAAGACACATAAATTAGCCTAATGTTTCACTGTTCTGGAGCTGTCAAAAATAATTCACTTGTGAATTGGCACTACACTGGGCTGCAGGGTTAATTTATTTTCACAAAACAATTAAAAACGAGAAATCATTGAAAAAACTAAAGTGTTTTAAATAATATAAATGGGCACCTAAACAAAACTGTGCTAAATACTGACCTCTTGTGGTCATCAATGTATTTAACTTTTTATTTATATTTTGAATTTGTCTCTGATATCGATAAGAAATAGTTAGAATATGCACGATTTGAAATAATGTGGATTTATATCCCTACAGGGTTAGCAGATGAACTTCAGTTTTAGAAATAATTTTTAATGTAATGTATTGTATTGCAAACATTTTGACAAAGATTTTTACATTTGTCAGACAGTATAGTGTACATATTTTCATTTTGTGTCCTGTTACATTATTATCATTATTATTTTAAATACCAAATTAGTAGGACTGATAGAAGTCAGTGTACCACTGATTTTATTTTGCAAACTTAAACTGCTGCACTTTATTGTTTTTCTTTAAATTTACAGTTTGCTGTGTGGTTCATTTATTTTTTATTTTTTATTTTTTTACTGTAAGATGCCTCTTTTGTTCCACCAGGCTCAGTCATGTGTTTATTTGTGCACAGCTGTTGTCTGGATTTGAACAGTTTCCTAAAAACCTTCTCAGAATGAATGCACATTAGAAACACAACAAATTTAGAGTCTTAGAAACCACAGAACAAGACATACTACAAAAAGCTGAAACAATCTGTGTCGGTGAAATCGACAGTTTTCCTTTTTACAGAGACTCCGTGTTTTATTTCAGATCAGATTGTCTCTTTTTGCATGAATGACATGACATTAACATTGTAAAGACAGTGAATTTACAGCTCTGTAACAACGCAAAACCACTAAATGCACCTGTTGAATGTATTTATCTGTTTCTTGGGTCTGTTTAACTTTTAAATAAAGGTCTAAAACAGAGCTTAAGACAACCACATCTATGCATGAGGCTAACATGAGGTCATGTTTCATAAAAATAAAGATTTTAATTATAAAATAAAAGGCTGAGAGAGCAGCAAAACAAAATGCCACAAAGAAAATTAACTAAACAGTAAAATAAAGAACTTTGGTGTTACTTTGATGAGTATAATGGACCCCCTCTCTTAATGACCACCTTTTGTCAGAACTGTTCTCTAAAAGTCATCCCACCCTGATGATTCTTGGTGATGTTTGGATAAGTTTATATTCTAAGCTTTTCAGGTGACTTCTTATCAGAACAAGCACACAATGTGTACACATTCTCCTGAGGTTTATATATTTCTAAATAAGCATCAACAATCGGAGCATCTGGCCATGACATCAAAACTTCAAAAAGTTTGGAGAGAAAACCCTTGGCGGGTGATCAGTTTGATTTTGTATGATGATTCTTAGGTCTGAAAACATACAGTCAAACCTAAGATGAATAAAAAGCATATTTGAAAAGCAAACAAACAAAAACAACCTAACAGTTTCTTATTATTTCAAAACAGTTATAAGTCTTCATCATCTTAGAAATTCTTTAAAAACAAGTTGTAAAGTTAAGCTGAGAGTCCAGGATTAGTCCTAAATGTTCAATGGTGGGTTGGGGGTTGGGTTTAGGACCATGCTGTGAATTGAGTTTAGGTTAGTTTTAGGGTCAGGTAGGTACCTGTAAGGTTAATTAGGGTTGGTGGTCAGGGATAGGCTGCAGAAAATAATGGAAGTCAATGCCAGGTCCCCATAAAGATAGCTGTACCAGATTGTGACTGTGTAAAACAGGAATCTATTGGTTCTTAGAAAAATACCGGTTCTGACCACTCCTACAGAAACCTGCTGTGTTCCCCTTCACTAAAGGAGCAGGTGTCCTGTTTCAGAAGACGAGATTTCACAGGGGAAAAAAAACCCTGATCTGCTCACACGGTAAAACACAAATCTTTTCTTAATAATGTTATTTATTTATTTAGTGACTGATTTGTTTGGTTTAAATGGTTTTGTAACTATTTATATGCATTGCTTGTTATTTTTTAACTGCAGTAATATTTTTTAATGTACAGGTAAGTTACAAAATGCCTGATTGGATTGTCCTGCTTTGCTCCTTTTTAAATTTATTTTATTTATAAAAAACCTCAATCAAATTTTTTAAAATTTATTGTAAAAAAAAATTATAACATATTCTATTAACAAAACAACTTTAAAAAATCCTCATTTTTTCTGGTATTATTTCTGAACAAAAGAGAACAAAGACCAGATTTGTTTAAAGAAAACAGTGAAATGACAAATTTAATCCTTATTTAGAAACAATGTAATTAAATAAACATGTATATCAGTGGTCCCCAAACTACGGCCCGTGGGCGCCTCCCCATTTGGTCTGACCCCCAGAACAATACCAGAGAGCATTTAGTTTTTTTTCATTTATATGCATTTATATTTGATTATAAAGTTGGACTTTTGCAGTAAAATGTTCCTTATGAACTATTTTCATTATTAATTATTATTAGTTAGTAACTATTTCATACATAAACGCATATAACATGATATTCTGTTCCACCCTTCTGCGGTCTGTGCTCCTATCTGGCAACCCCCAGAAAAAAAAATCCTAAACCCGCCCCTCTCAAAGAGAGAACAGAATAATGGCGAAAAGATTAGGTAAGAGAAAAATTGACTCAGAATGCAGGACATTTAAGCTGCAGTGGACAAACGATTATTTTTTTGTTCATCTGTCAAGAGGCGGTGGTGGTATTCAGAGAATACAATCTGCGGCGACACTATGAATCCCGTCACAAAGACAAGTATGATAGCTTCAAGGCCAAATGTGAGCAAACAAACTCTCAAAGCTAAAAAGTGGACTGTTAGCTCAGCAGAATACACACTGTGAAGATCCCAGAGAGAGTTATTTGATTGTGCTTTCTGGAAAACAGTAATTTTTTACATTTAGGCACTCCTGCAATAGTCACACTTTTTCTGTTACAAACGGACTCCGGCCCCCCACCAGAGAAGGGAAAAGTTATGTGGCCCTTACAGGAAAAAGGTTTGGGGACCCCTGATGTACAGTATATGGTGTGTGCTTATACACATTATCATTATGCTCTGACAAACACTGGTTCAATCTTTTCTAAGATTAAAATGAACAAAAACCAAAACCTCCAAGTAAGACGGGACCAGGACCCTGAGAACAGACCTGAACCAGAAACTCATGTCAGGGACCAGTGGGCCTCTAAGATGGAGTACATCTTGGCGGTGGCGGGACACATTGTTGGTCTGGGAAATGTTTGGAGGTTTCCTTACCTCTGCTACAAAAATGGAGGAGGTAAAATTTTCCACTGCTGTGTTTTCTTTAGAATTTTTTTCTTCAGGTAAACTTAGCTGACATAACTTTTTAAGGTCTTAATAAAAGGCTTTGGTCTACACTAAATTGTGTACTGCAGCAGTTTCTCAGTTAAGTGAACCTTAAAACCCATTGATGAGTACCTTCCAAAACCAAGAGTAAAAGCTCTTAATTTGAGCTCTTCAAAAGTTCTAAAATGTTAAAAAAAAAAAAAAAAAACAAATAAAAAAGTTCACTTTTTTTAAAAGCTATATAATCTGTGTGCTGACATTGGTGAAATTAATAATCTATAATATGTTTGTTTTTAAGGGGTTTTCTTTATTCCCTATGTTTTGTTTTTGTTCACCTGCGGCATCCCGCTCTTCTTTCTTGAGACGTCGTTGGGTCAGTTCACCAGTCAAGGTGGGATAACATGTTGGAGGAAAATCTGTCCCCTTTTTGAAGGTAGGTTGTAAACCTCGTGTAAAAATGTTTGGACCCAGTAGTTCATAGGAAGTGCCTCATATTTGTTCTTTTTGAACTGGTTTAATCTTAAAATTATGAAATTTGGATCGTTTCATTCACAGTTATGGTATTTGCCATCATTGTAAAATGCTTTTACATAACTACCTTTCTACAGGCTTGGGCTATGGAAGCCAAGTGGTTGTTTTGTACACTGGGATGTATTACATCATCATACTGGCTTGGACTCTTCTATACCTGTTTTCTTCAGCCAGGAGTGAGCTTCCATGGGTGAGCTGTAACAACAGCTGGAACACAGGTACCAAACGTTCAGGATCTTTGACATGTCTTGTGTTTTCTTTGTTCATCCTGTCATCTTTTTTTCATGGAAGATGCATGTTTCGAGTATGGCCGCAATAAAACGTCCCCACTGTACAGGAATTCCACGTCTTCAGTCGTAGAGTTTTGGGAGTAGGTATCATTAATTAAATCATCACCTTGTTTTGGTGTTTGTTACTCATTAGACGTTGTTACAGGAGAAGAATATTGGGGCTGTCRGATGGAATTGAGAAGATTGGAAGTGTTCGTTGGGACTTGGCCATCTGTCTACTTTTGGTCTGGGTGTTGTGTTATTTCTGTGTCTGGAAKGGAGTCAAGTCTGCAGGAAAGGTACGGTGCAATCCCAATATTAAACTTTAACATCTGACTTCAGGGTAACTGCTCTCTTTTCTGCATTAGGTGGTGTACTTCACTGCCACTTTTCCATATGTGATTTTGGCAGTGTTGCTGGTTCGAGGTCTTACATTACCGGGAGCCAAAGATGGAGTTCTTTTCTACCTCTACCCAGATCCATCTCGCCTCATTGACCCAGAGGTATTACAATGCAGCTGTTTCTCATATTGTAAGCCTGGTCTCTTAAAAGTTGCATTCTTCTTTTTTCATTGTTTTGGTGGAGCTGTCTGGTACCCCACTTTTTACTGTAACAATGAGCAAAGACAATAATGACCCTGGTAGGAAACTGTTAGACCAAACAGATGACTAATATTTTTGACTGCTGTTCTGTTTGTTGTGTACTTGGAGTCTCTAGGAGTGGAGAAAATTAGAATWKAGTTTTTCCTGGTGTTGCATAGATATCTTTATATTCTGCTTGGATCATAGTTTTCAACCTGTTCAGTTTTCTCTATTCTATATGACGTTTTCTGAAAAATGACATCAAAGTATTTTATGACAGAATATAAGGCATTGACTTACAAACTACAATTTCATCGTCATCATTCTCCTCTCACTCTGGGTCAGACTCTGGCTCCAACATCTAAAGCAGGATGGACAAGTCTTCAGTGGTTGACATTTTTTAATTATTTAAAATTTAAAAAGTTTCTGTGCTGCTGTATAGTCTTAAACCTCTCTGTCAAACTAGAATGCACYRGTCTGGAAGAGACAGCATCAAAACGAGCTGATCTCAGACAAACCTCAGAAAAGAGGAGCTTGTAAGGTTACCACAAAGAGCATTGCAGTTCATCTTTATATAGACASCAACTGAGTGATTTAAATGTGAAAAGGAAGGATTTAAAAGCATATGTCTACATTAAGTTACAACAGAATGGCTTGAGTTTATGTTAAAATGTATTTGCTTTATTTTCAAGGAGCTAAAACATTAATTGGTCAYGGTATCCCTTTTAAGGGATCCCCGATTAGTTGTAACATTAGACTTTATTTGATAAACATATATTTTAATTGTAAAATAAAGACTGTAAAAATACTGTAGGCTGTTTAGTTTTTATAATTTTTAAAAATATATTTTAACACGGAGATGCCTTTTTAATTACACGCAAAGCATTCTGGGTAAATGATGACATGGATAGGTCCTCGGTGCGAGGCTGCTAGTGAGCTATATCCACGCTGAAGGTTAATCTTGGACAATATCTGATGATCGACTCTTTTAAATGAAACCAGAGAGCGTTGACAGAGAGGAGAAAGTAGAAACGACTCAGCCTGGAACTGAAAATATGGATGGAGGACAACAGAGCTGCTTCATGGAAGAAGAACCTCAGCTTAGCCTGTTAGTCTTTGCTCTAGCGCTGACGTTAAATAGCTCGGTGCTAGCGCGACAAACTAACAAGCTAAAATGAGGTCCTCCATTCATATTTTCAGTTACAGGCTGAGTCATTTCAACCTTCTCCTCTCTGTCA